GGAGGGGAGAGGGGCTGCTTACCCCCATGGGGCCCGGGGAAGCGGCCCTGCATGGGAGGCCAAGCAGCGACCGCTGGCACTGCTGGCCCGTGCCTGCATCGTCACCTGCCCGCTTCAAGCCAACCCCACTGCCCTGCCCTGCCCGGTCCCACAGCAAGGCAGCGCCTGCTCCCCCGGCCAGTCTCCCCACCGGGCGCTACAGCTCTCTGGGCCCGATCACGAGGCCCCGAGGTGGGCCGCTTCTCATGTGCTGCTGGGGATGGGAGGAGGAGCCCGGCTGTGTCTGCACTGGGCCCCAGAAGGGGCGGGGGGGCCGTGGGCCACCCGCACTGGTCAATCCTGAGCGGCACACAGCTCTGTCGCCGCTTCTGCTGGCCGGTGCAGACCTGGCCGGCCTCGTCCCATCCCCAGCAGCACACGGGAAGCCGGTTTCGGCTGCATGCTGCTTTTCCTGGCTGGTGCTGACCCGGTTCTGCCCAGGCGGGTCCTGCAGCACCATGTCAATCTGGGCATGGCACCTGCAGGCCGGGTGGGCACCAGGTTAACTCCGGCCTGGCCCCGCGGCTTCTCAGCACCAGGTGAACCCAACTGTAGCCAAGCAGCTCCTGCAGCACCATGTCAACCCGGGCATGCATGTCATGTCAACCAGGACCATGTCAACCCCTGCAACTTCATTAGTGTCAAAGGTCACGTGACATAACTTCCTGATATGATACCACTTCCTGTGACGTCTTTGAATATGGCTCGCCGGCCCACTGGGTGATAAAAAGTTCGTGATCTGGCCCCGCATTCAAAAAGGTTGGACGCCCTTGTTCTAGGTGGTCAAAGCCCTAGTTCTGTCTCCCTAGAGATGACCTTCCATCAGCATCCCACAAGCTTAGTGAAACAGAAGGAAGAAGGCCAATGCTGTTTTGTGATACCTGGGTTTTCCTTGACAGTTCAGAGGCTGAAGAGCCTAAAACCAACTTCTCTTAGAAAAACTGAGGAGACCATGGCTTGAGATTAGATAGCTGAAGGCAAGAAGAGAGGAAACATATTTTTCCCTTAGAGACAAATAAGTGGAGACACTGGCTGATAATGGACAGCAGACTCTTCCTTTGACTATCTTGGGTCTTATACTTTTACTACAAGGAGCAGATCAGCTACTCTAAAAGAAAATTTGAGATCAGTCAGAGCTTACTTAGCTCAAGCCCCAACTTGCTCTTCATGGGGATGAAGGCCTACCTTAACTAATCCATCACGCTACGGGTGAAAAATGTGAGAGGTAGCCAAAACAGAAACAATTCATCTAAGTGTTGCCTCTGGTCTCCAAGCAGGTGATGCGTCAGACACATCAAACCCAATGATTTTTTTATCTTGTTCAATTGGCAAGGATTCTAGGAGCCAGGAGATTATGCAGGAGCCTGCAGTTCTGGGGGAATCATTATATAGGACAGCTACAATCTAACTGTCTTAAAAGCGCTTTCCGAAAAAATTACACCTCACACCCCACAACACAGAAGCTAGATAAAGCATTGCATCTACCCTAGGGATGAAGAAGCTAAGGCAGAGTTGAAGTGAGTGCCCCATAGTCACCCAGTAAGTCAGCAGCAAATACCTTGATCAGAGCACCACCCTCTCAATTGTCAACACCTGTGTGTCACCAATCCCTACTACCCCAATGACAACAGAAGAGGGATGCATCACTCCTACCACCCTGTTGGAGCCATTCCTGTTCCCAGGCAAAAGGCATAGGAAAGAGGGAACAACATACCATCCTTTGTCATGTGGCATAGCAACTATCATTTATAGGACAATAAATTGCATGGCTGGAGACAACCAACTCTCCTGAGAAGGGACATCAGGAGCATTGAGCACTTCTATAGTTAGGCTTTCTAATTCTGCAAGATTAGCCTTTTCTCTGGACCAGAGATGCTCTGCACACTCAGCCAGGCAGGCAATTTCAACAAAAGCACACAGCCCCCTTTAACGAGGTTCCAAACCAGAAGCTGGCTGGATGGGAGGCAAGCACCTGTCATCCCTGAGGCAACAAGCTACAGTGCTTAGTGCTTAAACAGTGCAGCAAGCTACACTAAACACAAAGGGAGAACTCCTTACTCCATGACAGAACTCCATGCGACACCCTGTGGGAAGCAGATTCAGGATTTACCTTTCCACCTCCTGGCTGGTGCTTCAGGTTTTCAGTAGAACCAATCTTGGACTTGATATTTTTCAGATCAGGCATGGGGACAGCAGACGGCTGCATGCGGCTCTTGGCAGAAGAAGGGGACTTTGGAGGAGTGCGGACCACTGCCACCTTCTTGGGCTCCCTGGCAGGAGGAGTTGGCAGGGAAGGTGTGCGGGAACGGCTGCCTGGGGTTCCTGGTGAGCCAGGGCTGCTGTAACCGCTTCTGTCTCCAGACTTTGGCTGTTCACCTGGAGTTTGCAGGCACACATGTAATAGCACAGTCTGGTATGCATTTCTTTCCCAACTACTGCCAATATTTACTGAATTGTTCCCCCTGCTCCAAGAGTGACCACCTGCTGCTTAACAAAACTGCCAGTGGAGTTGGCATCCACACCAAGGGGCAGCTGCTCCCACTTCCCAGCCAGGGAATGACTGATAGCGACTGTTCCTTACCAGGATACCATCTGGGGCAGACCATAATTTAACAGCAGGAAGGTCATACAGAATTTGATGACCGAGTCAGAGCAGGAAAGATTCTGCATAAAGGAGTTCTGGGACAGAGGTCAGGAGACCCCATGACAAGAGGGGAAGGTGCGAGTTTGTGTGGACATCACAAAGTTGCACTGTCCCCTAGGGATCTCATGGCATGTAGCTTTACTAAGGCACTTTTTCATCAGTATATCTCAAAGGGCTTTGCAAAGGACAACAGCATCATTATTCCCAAACTGAGTCCAGGGAGGTGAAGCAGCTTCTCCAAGGTCACCCAACAGACCACTGGCTGAGATAAGAGCAGAACCCAGGTCTCTGAGTCCCATCCCATTGATCTAACCACTACAACATATAGTCTCCTAATAGCTGTATGGGTGAGGTAGGCCAGTACCATTAATACAAATAACCAGGGATGGGCAGGGGTCTGGAGCAGGAGTAACTGGCCCAGCACAAAGAGCAGTGAATAATTGTTCACCTGAACATCCTTAGAGCGGCGGGGGGGGCCCTAAACCATGCTTAAAACCAAAAGGCCTTAAGCAAAATCATCCCTGGTTTTACCCATCTCTGTAATGAAACCCAGGAATCCTAACTGCTTAGTTCACCTCTTGAGCTCCCACCAGACACTGCTGTCCCTCCCTGACTCTCAGCCATGCAAAAGCATTTTGGGGTGGGGGGTCAGGGAGCAAAAAGCTGGTTACCTGCAACTTTCTCAACTGTATTTCCATAGGACTATGAAATTAACTTCAGTGCATAGTAAATTATAAACAAAAAAGATATTCAGCTAGAACTATTTTCTTCTATTAAAGGTTTGAAAAAAATTAAAACAAAGTCAATTATCACACAGATCACAGAGCATCTTAAAATTGTTTCATTACACAAAAGGGAAAGGCAGAAGACACGGTAGAGTAGCACTTTAAAGTTTGAATGAATCAGCCAATAAAGTGTCACCCTGCCCTACCTTTTAACTTCAGACCAACATAGCTAACTGCCTTTCTCCAGAATTAGAGGTAAAAACCTTAGATGTTACCTTTATCAGATTTTGCTGCTGTGGAAGGGGGCTTTTTCTGCTCCTTCTTTCCAGCTGTAAGAAAGATAAGAGACCTCTGAGAAAAATCAATTAAGCTTCAAAACTTTAGCAAAGCCTTTATCTGCATTCAGATAAATGCAAAACATGCATTCAGCAGG